GGGTAGGGTGTTTACCTTGCACGTGGCCGAACTGGGTTCAAATTCCCATTATCCCACGTGGTCCCCCAAGCACCACCAGGGGTAATTCCTGAGTGAAGAGTCAGGAGTAACCCCTGTGCATTGCTGGGTGTGACCACAAAAGGAAAAAAAAAAAGAAAGAAAAAGAAAAAGGAAGACAGTGTCTTTTTTTTTTTCAGGATTCTGTGTTTAATTCAAATTTAGTACTGCACTAATACTAATATCCACTACTTAACACCCTATTTTGCCATCTTATTTTTGAGCTAATTTGATTGAGAAGAGATGCAAAAATAAAAAGAAAAGGAGAAGAAAAAAGAAAAAAAGCCTATTTTCAGGGCAACGATTAGTTCTGGCTTTGCAAATGTGGAATTGGGATTCTTAGAGAAGACAACTCTTTAACTTTGCTTTCTTATGCGATAAAATCAGAGCTGGGAGTTAAAAGGCTAGTGAATATGAAAGTAAGCACTGAACATATAATTGGAAGTGAACACTCATTACATATGTTAGTAAGTTGATGTATTCATTAGGTAAACCAAATGTTTTTGATTATGAAAGACCATTCCATACAGTTTAGTTTATAAAGTACAGTCAAGGGTGTTGTGCTCTATTATGTTGAAATTGGCTGGAGTGATAGCACAGCGGGTAGGGCATTTGCCTTGCATGCGGCCGACTCAAGTTCGATTCCTCCGCTCCTCTCGGAGAGCCCAGCAAGCTACTGAGAGTGTCTCGCCCGCACGGCAAAGCCTGGCAAGCTACCTGTGACGTATTAAATATGCCAAACACAATAACAAGTCTCACTATGCTGCTGGGCCTGCTCGAGCAAATCGATGAACATCGGGAGGGCAGTGGCAGTGGCAGTGGTGTTGAAATTACAATAGGCAGTGCTTACTGACAACTTACCAAGTACGAGGCACTTTAAGTTTTACTGTTTATTTTTATTTTTTATTTTTTTCTTTTTGGGTCACACCCGGCAATGCACAGGTGTTACTCCTGGCTTTGCACTCAGGAATTACCCCTGGCAGTGCTCGGGAACCGTATGGGATGCTGGGAATCGAACCCGGGTCGGCCGTGTGCAAGGCAAAAGCCCTACCCGCTGATCTATCGCTTTAGCCCCAAGTTTTACTGTTTAACTTGATCTTCAAATAAAGTACCACTATTTTGATACCTTATAGAGGAAAAAAATGAAGTAGATTAAGTAGCATCATAGTCATACACCTGGGAAATGTTAAACTGTCTTTGAAATGTCTGTCTGACTCTGGAAGTCAAACTTAACCACCAAAACATACTGCTACTGGGGCTGGAGTGATAGCACAGCGGGTAGGGTGTTTACCTTGCCCAAAGCTGATTGGGGTTTGATTCCCAGCATCCCATATGGTCCACAGAGCACCACCAGGAGTAATTCCTGAGTGAAGAGCCAGGAGTAACCCATGTGCATCGCCGGGTGTGACCCAAAAAGCAAAAGCAACAAAAACAACAACAAAAAAACATACTGCTGCTTCTGTAAGAGTTTCAGTTGGTAAAATATAAGTGTTTCGTAGAATGTGGCATTGTTCTCCTTTATGATCCTCTTCATTGCTTCAACTTCCGGCAGATTGGTTCAGAGAACCAAGATTAAATAAGCTGGTTTACACCAGTTCCTCACAAGGAATTTAGTGACAAGTTCTCCAAGTTTTAATGTTTCTATAGCTACAGAAATTTTTAAAAATGATTTTTCTTGATATTGGTGAGAATGTTGTTTTAGAGAGACAGAAATTGATTTCAGTCACAGTCTTGGTTGCATTTTTTTTAATCTTCTTGAGAGAAAGAATTAGAAGAGTAAGTTTTTTATCTTAATAATACTTGAGATTCCCATTTCAGACATAGAGTACAAAACAAAATTACTTGGATCACAATTTAATTCATGAGCCAAAAGGCACTACAACAATACATAATGTTAACAATGATTGTTATTCCTGGATAGTAATGCTGTGGATGATTTCTTTTTTTAATATTTTACAGATTTGTAAATAAGATAGAATTGATTTAAAATGAGGGGGAAAATGAACTTTTACATGTAAAAACGTACACTTCAAAATACTACCTACTAATATCCTTTATCTATCCTTACTGTATTTACTCTGTCCACTGAATGGCTTATTGACACAAGTCAGTGAACAGCCATGTCTTGACTTAAAAATGCCAAAGACCATTTTTATGAAACTAACATATAAAAATGGAAGCTACTTTGTGCTGGGCTTATGTGTGACCCATCTGAGCAACATTTTCCTTCCCATACTGTTCTACAGATTTTTCTTAGCAGTATATGAACACCTACTGAATTTTAAATTCATTACTTTTGTTTGTTTTTGGCTATTTGGTTCGTACCCAGTAATGTTCAGGAGTTATTCCTGGTTCTGCACTCAGGAATTACTCCTGGCAGTGCTTGGGGACCATATATCAAGATGCTGGGGATTGAACCCGGATCAGCCACATGCAAGGCAAACACCCTACCTGTTTTACTCTCACTCTGGTCCTGCATTACTTTTAATAACACTGAGTTTGTTAATTCTTTTATTTGGGGGACATACCCAGTGATGCTGGGGCTAATCTCATCTCAGTTCTTGGTGACTGCTCCCACTGGTGCTCAGAGAACCATTCAGTGCCAGGGACTGAACCTGGGCCTCCTGCATGCATGTGCTCCGACCCACTCAACCATCTTCCTGACCTCTGAATTAATGTTTTAAAGTTTGTACCTCCTTAGTTTATCTATCCCAAGATTCTGGGGCTAGCTACCTCGTTCAAGATAAGGAAATGTAGAGCTATGTAAAGCTATATCAGATAAAACTGGGTAAATTCTGATATTCCTTTTATTTCTGACCTCAACAAATCAAGCATTTTATATTTCTTTGGCTGTTTTATCTAAGCTTATATATTTTGATATTTGATAATTTGTATTTTTAATTGAAAATACATAACACACATTCTGTTAGTTCCTATATCTTATAAAGTTCCTTTATATGAAGTAAATTAGCATAAACCTCATAAGGATATTAATTTCCCTAGTTTTATTTTCATTCTGTGGTATATAGATCAATTCAATCTATTTTTCCTATTACTATGGTGCCTGAGATAAATCCTAAGTTTTTGAAAAAGGAAATAGTAATTAGATTTGTACTATTTTAGGAAGTAAACTGTGTTTTATGCCATCTAGCAACTTTTATTAAAAGAGGCTCAGAAAAATAGAATGCATTCACACTTAATTGTTTTTATGCTGTAAGAGCTCTATATTTCTAGATATTCAATAGATATATATGTGAAATATCCATAGTTGAAAATATATTTTTTCATTGCACATACTAAAACCTATTTTTTAAATACAGCATTTCCCCGTCATACCAGAGCTATGTTTTATAATTAAAAAGACTTTTTTGAAAAATATGAAATTACACTGATTTAAGTCAATATGCCCTGGTATTCCTGCCTCTCTTTTGTAAAGTGGTTATAGAAAGATTAGGCAAATTTTGGTTCTTCTGGTGCTTTTCTAATGTTAAATGAATTTTTATCTGGTATTAACAAAGTAGATCTGTATTTTTACCATTTAATCATAAAAATATTCACTTATTTAGAATTTTCTCAGCCTACCTTTGCATCTTATTGAATCGTTGATTTAATCAAATAGCACCTGATCCCTTTCTTGTTGTATCTATACTGTATCCTATTCTTCCTCCACTCCCTTCTGAATTTGGGCTTGATTTCCTATATTAATGGTTTCAGTGTACTATAGTTAGATTTCCCTTTTGGTGCCTACAAATTAATTGCTGAGTTTCAGTTAACATTTCGAGAAAATATGAATGGTTATCTTTATTTTAATAACAAAGTTTTCAAAGTGAGTCTCAAAATGAGGTTGTTACTTTTTTTTCTTTTGGGGTTGTTACTTTCTGAAGTTGGAATTGCTAATGTAGCTGTTGTGTTTAGGTTAAACAGACAACCACATATTCTGTGTTGAAAGAGAAAAAGAAACTAAGATCTGAATAATGACAATTTCTTGTATATTTCTATTTTTTTGAGAACCTCTGCTCTTATGAAACTGAAAGCAGTATTCCTTTATATTCATAGCTTGGAATTGAGAGACTTGGAAAGAGGTTTTCCTCTGCAATGAGCAGTCTTTGTTGATACTAGGTAACAGGAACTACTTTACTTGCACGCAAGGGGGACATACAGATATTCTTGATATATACAAGTGACAAAATTAGTGTGGAAAACGGGGCAAAGTTAGCATGTTTTGAGGAATTCAAAAGTTGAGAGCACAGAGTCACCACAAATACAGAATTTATATTGTGGTTTATAATCACAGTATTGGTGATTGCATCTTGACAGAGTAACAATATTCCATCCTTGGAAAGTTGGGGGGTCGGGAAGGATTGAGCTACAACTGTGCTCAGGGATCACTCCTGATAGGACTTGGGAGACCATATATGGTGCCAGGTATGAAACCCAGGTCAGCCCACATGCAAGGCAAATGCCTTATCTCTGTACTGTCTCTCTGGTTGTCGAGCTTGGAAATTTTACTGGATAAACTATTTTAAAATGCTTCTGAGGAATAACAACTCATTTAAAAACAAACATAGGAATAAGCAATCATGTGAAAAGTTTTTTTGTGTTTTTTGTTTGCTTTTTGGGTCATAACTGGCGATGCACAGGGGTTACTCCTGGCTCATGCACTCAGGAATTACTCCAAGCAGTGCTCAGGGGACCATATGGGATGCTGGGAATTGAACCCGGGTCGGCCATGTGCAAGGCAAATGTCCTACCCGTTGTACTATCACTCCAGCCCCAATCATGTGAAAAGTTTTAAGGAAAAGACTTTATAAACTTCTCTGAGTCTGTTTCTGACCCTCAGATAAGTTCTTTAATATGGACATACAAAATTTCAGGAATCACTTGTAGGCATATCAGAATGCAGTTATGCAGACTGTCTGGATAGAGTTAGACTGCATTTTACCTACTCTGGTCTAGTCATAAAAATGTTCTCTATATACAATGACTCTGACATGACAATTCTTTGATAATCTTGTTTAGAACTAGGATCATATGGGGATCCAATGCTAATTTAGTGAAAATGTTTTCTTATGAAGAAGAAACAGACTGGTTGACAAAAGAACCCTGGAGAACTACCTCAAAACTAAAGGATGCGCAAGAAAACTGAGCTGGAACTTGATATGTATATATGGTGGCTGTGTTTTCATAAACTAAACACTAAGTTATATTAAAGAGCCTTCTTCCAACATTGAGATTCTACATGCTATAATGGCAACAGTTTTCTTAGCAATCACATACGGCCTTAAATGATGTCATCTCTAGGAAGGGAACATATTAGCACAGAAATGTGTAGGAAACCAGAGCTGATGACACCTGAACATTATCTTGACTATTACTGGAAACTCTTGGTTCATGGGATGAGAAGAGGGTTTGTTCCCCATTTCTATGGAGAATGGACTTACAAATCTATTTCCTCATAAAAAGTCAATAACAAAATTGAGGGATGTCCATGATTTTGTATGAAAGGAAATACTACATTTTAGCTTCCAAGTGGAAAAAACAAGCACCACATTTCTCTGTGATTTCACTGAAGCAAAATGGGTTTGAAAATCTTATCTACCTTTCTAAAGACAAAAACTGGTCTGGTTCTAATGTTATTTTCCATTTAAAAAAATTCTCATTGTTTTAACAAACCAATCCCAGGCCACAACCCTAACTTTTCTGCTATCTTTTAGCCACATTGAGACTTCTAAGCTGTCAAGGCAATTTTCATGTAAAAGACTTTCCAAAGTAATAGCCCACCTCCTTATTGACAAAATATTCCTAGCTGTTTTGAAATAAATCTTGTTATCTAGTTCAGATTCAAGAGTGTATAATATTTTTCAACATATCAAAAGCTACAAATCAAGGTAGTAAAGAGATACTTAATCTATTCAAATGTGGTCTTTACCATCTGTCTAAAGTTGGTTGACAAATGTTAAATTCACAAACATGATGCTTTTGTGTATGGGTTAAAATATAAACTCCTTTCCACAAAGGCAATTATGTTGCAAAATTGATGTCTCAAGGCCATTGAAGGGACATAATAACTTCAGTCAAGCATTAAGAAGTTCATCATCTGCATGCCCAATGGCATCTGGGTTTGAAAGTGGATCCAAGTCTGCAAATAGATTGAACCAGGCTGACATGTCTTGGTTGCCATTGTTGACAGCTATTAAAAAAAACACACAAAAACATATTAAATCCTAAGCTTTTTGAAATCACATTCTTACACCACTTTTTAACATTTTGAAGTAAATTCTTGCATCAAAAACATTTAAGGCAGTTGACAAAAAATACCATTAAGTAGAATAGTAGAATAACTATCAGTTTGGAGGAAAAGGGATCTTGCTGTTGCATGGTGTTAACTTTCAGATTTGCAAGATCAAAATGTTCTGAAAGTCTGTTTTACAGCACGTATATAATTTAACATGCCTAAACTGTACACTTACACATAGTTAAGATGACAAACCTTATGTTATTGTTTTATGTCATTTTCTAAAATGTGGAGGATGTGTGGGGGTTGTAAAATCATCACTTTGCACCCATGACAGTAAAAAATGCACAAGGTAAAAGCAACAATAGATGCAAAATCTATGCAGAAAAACTCAGAGGTAGGTGGACTGGGTCACACCCAGTAGTTCTCAGGATTTTCTTATAGCTCTGTGCTCAGAAAGACATCACTCCTGGAGGTGGTCTGGTGACCCAATCAATGCTGGGGATCAAACTGGAGTCGGCTGCATGCAAGAAGTGCCTTGTGCCATGCACTATCTCACTGGTCTACTATACATATATTTAATTGCAAGGTTAAAATTAAGACAGTAATTACGCAGGAGAAGAATTAGACAACTCCTTGAATTAGTGGTCAAAGTTAGCACTACTAGTGAGACGGAAATAGTGTAAGCTCTCAAATGTGAAACTATGAGAAAGGAACATTACCAGGTGGTATTCCAGTCATAAATGAATGACCTAAATATACTGACAAAATGGAAATAATTGTTTTATAATATTATTTATTTTATAAATAATAATAAATGTTTTCTGCTAGAAAATATAACGTGGACAGAAGAACTATCTTTATTAAATACTTAATGTCTAGACGTCAGAGAAAATCTGTAGAAATGTTTCAAATTGAGGGTGAAGAGACATGTTGGCTGGATATAATACAAGATCCTAGACTCATTTAACTATAGCGGCAGAATGTAAGAAAGGACATTAATGAGATCAGTTCACAAAAATGGAAAATAAATAAATGATTTGTTAAGGAAAAGTATTAGTTTTTTAATACTTTTAGAAATATTAGAAAGTATTAGAAATGCTACTACCCCTCATTATTGATAGGAGATATGTACCAAGACTCCTTATCAATGGAAACCTAAAACTCCAAGACTGTTGTACTATGTATTATGTATCATACTATGTATTATGTATGTATTGTATTATATATTGTACATAATACATTTTTCTTTTTTATTCTTTTTATATAATATTTTAAGACTACAGTTGACCTTGAGTGAATTAAATCCTAGAAGTGAAACCACAAATAAAGGGGAGATTGCTATGCTAAATTTACATTAGTTACAACCATATTACAGTAATGTAAGCAAATGTCAGTTCTTAGGGAACAAGCATTTAGGGGTAGGGAGGATATATGTAATTAACCCTCAAAGATTAAAGAATCAAGCAATTGTCTCTCACGTACATGCTCCTCTCTCTCTCTCTCTCTCTCTCTCTCTCTCTCTCTCTCTCTCACCTGCATTAAGCAAGTAGAGTAAAATATGAACAGGTGAATCTGGGCAAAGGGCACAGAGATACTCTATGTGCTTTTTTTCGTCTAGGGGAAGGGGCACATCTGACAGTGCTCAGGAGAACATGTGGTGCCAAGTATCAAATCTAGGGCTCTAGCTTGCAAACAATGCACTGCATCCTAGCACTTTAAGCTGTCTCCACGGCCCTGAACCCTGTGAAGTGCCTTCAAGGATCCAACTCAGTGTTTCATACATGCAAAACATGTACTCTACCACTGAGCTACTTCCTCTCTTTTGTACCTTTCAGATTTTTTCCAATTGAAAAGTTTAAAAAAATCAACATAGTGACTAAGCTTAATGTGTATTGAAAATCCTGTAAGATAGCATATGTGTTTATTTCCTACCTATATCCTACAAGACAATTACAACATAAATCAACTCTGCAGACAGCAATGGTAAGCACTCACTATATGTTAGCAATTATCATATAGTAGCCCTATGCTGAGTGGTTGAATGGATTTTTGTTTAAAAGGCACATCTTGTAATCAAAGAATATCTTCTGGGCTTCTGGGTCTGGAAAGCCAGCTCTATGAACTTCTAGGAATGGTCCAGAATGAGAGGGAGAAGAGAGAAGAGAGAGATTCTATCCCTATTGGAAATACCTATTATCAACAAACCTTAAGACAGGATGTAAAAGGTTACAGTAAACTCACAGCTTCAATTCTCTGCACAGTGAGGAATAGCCAGATACAGATTTTACTCATGTAACAAAATATTTTTCTTGTCAATTGAAAGTAAAAGCTATAAAGTGATCCGATTTGGAATGCATCTGAATTCAACTAATTATTAGTATAGTGGCAGTGCTACAGGGCCACTGCACGGTCCTCCTCCCGTTGTTCATTGATTTGCTCAAGCGGGCCCAGTAATGTCTCCATTGTGAGACTTGTTGTTACTGTGCTTGGCATATTGAAATGTCACGGATAGCTTGCCAGGCTTTGCCGTGCAGGCGAGATACTCTTGGTAGCTTGCTCGGCTCTCCAAGAGGGGAGTATAGTGGCAAATAATATAAACTACTTACATCTTGTTAACTTCTTTGGACTCTGTGAAGGCACTGGCGGGTTATCAATGTGTGAAAGAGGAAGGTCTGTACCCCCTCGCGAGGCCCAGCCTAGAGACAAGGAGGTAATGCATTATTATTGTTCACCAAATAGGAAGTAGCATGAGAAAAACAAGAAGCAAAAAATAAGTCCTCTAAGGGGCTACAGTAATAGTACAGTGAGTAGGGCATTTGTCTTATATGAGGCAATCTGGGTTCAACCCCCAGCCTCCCATATGGTCCACCAGGCATTGCTGGACCTAATTCATGAATACAAAGCCAGCAGTAACCCCTAAGCATTGCCAGTGTGGCCCAAAAAGCAAACAACAACAACCAAATACAAAGTCCACTAGACTATGTACCAAGATAAGACAAGTATGTTATACTTTTTTAAAAAAAGTTTATACATAAAAATCTATTCCTTCACTGTTGGTGGGAATGTCCACTGGTTCAGCCCTTCTGGAAAACAGTATGGACGTTCCTCAAAAAATTAGAAATTGAGCTCCCATTTGACCCAGCGATACCACTCCTGGGAATATATCCCAGAGAGGCAAAAACGTGTAGCCGAAGTGACATCTGCACTTGTTTGTTCATTGCAGCACTCTTTACAGTAGCCAGAAATTGGAAGAGACCTGAGTGCCCAAGAACAGATGACTGGTTAAAGAAACTTTGGTACATCTACACAATGGAGTACTATGTGGCTCTTAGAAAAGATGAAGTCATGAACTTTACATACAAGTGGTACAATATGGAAAGTATCATGCTAAGCGAAATGAGTCAGAAAGAGAGGGATAGACATAGAAAGATAGCATTCATCTGGGGGATATAAAATAATAAAATATGAGATTAATACCCAAGAATAGCTGAGAGCAACACCAGGAGAATTACTCCATAACTTAGAGGCCAGCTGGGTATTCTAGGGGAAAGGACAATTCAGATAGAAAGGGGAACACCAAGTGGAGGGTGTTTGGAGGATCCTCCCAGGAGGGGAGATGCAAGTTGAAAGTAGACTGGACTGAACATGTTCGCCACTCAATGCCTCTTTGGCTGATCACAGCGCCCAGGAGGAGAGAGAGAACAGGGGGGAATGCCCTGCCACAGTGGCGGGGGGGATGGGGGGATGGGAGGATGGGGGGGGAGGGATATTATCCTGGTGGTGGAAAATGGGCACTGGTGGAGGGATGGGTATTTGATCGTGGTATGACCGAGATCCAAGCACAAAAATTTGTAAATCTACAACTGTACCTCATGGTGTTTCACTAATAAAAAAGAAAAAAAATCTATTCCAATTATTTAAATTCAGTTCCAGCATCCCTTCATTTTTCAAAGTTGTTTTGTTTTGAAATTAATATGAGTATTTTCCACTGCAAATGGATGATTTATATAAAGAGAAGTTGTTTTGGTTTTGTATTTTTGGGCTACACCCAGTGGTGCTTAGGGCTTACTCCTGGTGGGATTCGGGTGATGACTGGTGGTGCCAGGGATCAAATACAGGTCAGTCACATGCAAAGCAAAAACTTTGCCCACTGTACTATTATTCAGATTCTAGAAAGAGAAGTTTTAACAGTTGGGAATAAGTCAAACCTATGAATATATTTCACCTTGCAATTCAGTTAGCTAGTAGTCTATAAAGTGGCAAAGTAGAAAATAAGGAATAGATATAGTAGATTAACGTAACAAATGTTGTCATTAAAAAGTATTATAGGGAGATCATGAGCGTGTACAGAGATTAAGGTACTTGGCTTTGCACACACATTACTCTGGTTTGAGGCTAGAGAAGTGCAAAATTCAAAAATTTGGGGGTGGGGGAAGGGGGTGTGTTGACCACCAGAGATTCTTAGGTAACCAGGCCTACAGTTCAATGCAAGGGCTACCAGCTGCTGAGTTTATGAGGCCTTACAGTGTGGGGGTTTATCTAAGCCAAGCTGGGAGCCGACAGGCTTACATCCTTTTACCTTTTGTTTTATTTTTGATCCACACCTGGCCCTGCACTCAGGAATTACTCCTGCTGATGCCCAGGGGTTTATATAGGATGCCAAGGATTTAATCTGAGTAAGCCACAAGCAACACAAGAGCTTTACCCACCGTACCATCTCTCCAGCCCCGTATCCTATGATCTTAGGGGACTTTGTGTTGCCAGAGATCCAACTGGGTTAGGAGTCTGCTAAACATGGACCTTAATTGCTGTACCATCTCCCAGCCCAATTGAGACATGTTTTAGAAAGAATTGACAGGACTTTGTAACCAGTGTGGATATGGAAAGCAAAATGGATTCCCAAGTGCTGGACTGAACAAAGATGCTGGAGCAACAAGTGAGTAAAGTGGTACCTTGATAACATAAACTAGGCAAATGACCCCTTTTCTCAGGAAAACACCCTGCCACTACAAAGAGCCATTCCATTCTCTTTTGTTAGCTCTGAAACAACAGGAAGAGAATACACTGGTTTTTCTAGGTAGAGAAAACAGTATTACTCACAGTACCTAAGGAGTAATTAATTATTTTACAAATATTTTACACTCACCAATTTTTCTAAGTAAAGACACCTAGGATAATGCAGAAAATTCGTTGCGTATTTTGGAAAGAAGCCCTTGATGGCAGTATTTTTTCAGTTGACTGGTGACTGCAGATTTGATCTAGTAGTAGTACTGAAGTTAAAATTTGACCTCTTTAATTTTAGGATCAACATCCACATAGTTTTGCTTACAAAGCAAAAATAATGCACAGGTAATCAAATGTCTTATAGATACTTACTGTTGAAAGCTCCAGGAGCATGAAGGCCAAGTTCAAAAAGTTGTGAAGGAAGAAATCCAGAAGAATGAGCAAGAGACTCAGACCCCACAGAAGGCTCCTTTAGACTGGCATTGGGGCTCCCAAATGCAGTCTGGCATTCTTGGGTAAGTTCACTGTTACTTGAAGAACCGGGACTTATCAGAGTGTTCAGAAATGAGAATTCTTTCTCAAAATCTTCTTCCAGTGAATCTATATGCAGATCTTTTGCAGCTGTTGAGTGATAACATGGTATCTTTATTTAATTTTTTTAGAAGATGAGGATGTAGGAAAAATCAAATTTATTTCATTGTTTTTATATATCATTAATAATTTTCTTGCTATTCTAGAGATCAAACCCAATTGCCTCCACATTATATTTTATTATCTTTCATTAATGTAACTTTTGGAACAAACTAGAGATTTATGTGAATAATAATATTTTAGAAAAGCTATAAATCAAAATGACTTTTACAAGGACAATATGATAGGAATATTGATGCATGAAATAATTAAGCAACCACCTATGAAAGGTATAAACAACAGGATATGTAAGGAAAGACAAAAGGAAAGGGAAACGAGTAAGGGAGGGCTGGAAAGATAATATAGGAGGTAGGTCCTTGCCTTGCATGCAGCCAACCCCAATTCAAATGATCCCCTGAGCACCACAGGGGGTAACTCCCAAACAACAGAGCTAAGACTAGCTCCTGAGCACTGTAGTTGTGCCCCCAACTCCTCCCAAAAACAGTAAAAGGAAAGCTAGTAGCAATTGTTTGTGACACAATTGCTCAGGAAATGTCTATACTGCTGAATGGGGATATATGTAAAATAGTAAAATAGGCACAGTCCTAGCTATCTTTACAGTTCTACAGATATATTCTCTTTTTTTTTTGTTTCTTTCTTTTCAAAAAAAATTTTTATTAGTGAAACACCATGAGGTACAGTTGTAGACGTACAAATTTTTGTGCTTGGGTTTCAGTTATACAATGATCAAGTACCCATCCCTCCACCAGTGCCCATTCTCCACCTCCAATGCTCCCAGTATCCCTCCCACCCCCCCATACCCCCCATCCCACCTCACCCCTGTGGCAGGGTATTCCCTTTTGTTCTCTCTCTCCTTTTGGGTGCTGTGGTTTGCAAAAGAGGCATTGAGTGGCAATCATGTTCGGTCTATAGTCTACTTTCAGCATGCATCTCCCATCCTAGGATGATCCTCCCAACACCTTTATTTGGTGCTCCCTTCTCTATCTGAGCTGCCTTTTCCCCTAGCATGTGCGGCTGGCCTCCAAGCCATGGAGTGAACCTCCTGGTACTTATCTCAGCTATTCTTGGGAGTTAGTCTCCTATTTTGTTACTTTATATTCCCCAGATGAATGCAATACAGATATATTCTCAAAGGGCTTTGAAAAAAAGACAAAGTGAATTATTAAATTTCCATTGTAATGTACTACAAAGTAATAGTGTAGAGTTGCCTCTATATAACTAAATTTTATAGAGAACCATGCAGATTTTAGTGTTAAGGAAATAAAATGTAAAGATTTTTAAATTATAAATTATACTTATATATACTGAGATCATAATTTCACACCATTTTCAGAATTTGAAAATTGAGGTGCTCCAAATCCTCTTTCCTTGTTCTCTTCAACTGCAACAAAACAGCACAGGAACATAGTAAGTTGAATAGGAAGTAATTTAATGTGCTTATTAGTTTTAATATTTTAAAATGATTAAGTCAAAAGATTTGGTTGCTAGATTATAATACATATGAAAATACATTTGAATTTTAAAACCTAAAACCACACACATGCACACAGAAACACAAATAACATTGCATTCAGTTTTCATGTTATATCTTTGTTCCCTTCAAAGTGAAAAGTTCCACATTCCAAAGGCTATTTCTTTCTAGTGAGCTTTTCTCATTCTATAATTTCTAAATATTTTTTCAATATTGTTTCCCCTAATCTACAGGTTTCTGTCAAAAAAACTAATTTTATACATGATGAATAATTGGGTCTGGTTTGTTTTTAATGCAACAATTTGAAAGCAATGCAGCTCCATATTTCTCCTTTACATTAAAATAAAAGTAGTATTTTCCTATAAAGGGAAAAATCAAACTAATGTGCTAAAATAAAGCACTAATATTTTGTTTGTCACTTATTTTTGTTTTAGGTTCATGCTCAGCTGTGCTTTATTATGTGCTTTAGGGAAACTACAGGTTTGATCCTCAGGGCACCATGAGGTTCTGGGCTCAAACTCAGAGCTCTGGAAAGCAAAGCATGAGAACAGCCTTTTGATCTATCTCCCTGAATCACTCTTCTTACTTTTTAATGATTTCAACATTAAAAAAACCCAGGGGGGAAAAAACCCAGGGATGAGAGAGATAGTACAAGGATTAAGGCACTTTGTACAATTTTATGAAAAGATAAATTAGGAAAATGGTGAATGATTTGGGCATATTGGTAGTAGAGGGGCACAGATTTGTACACAAAAGTATAATCATCAATACTACTGTAAAAATACTTTAAAAATTACTCTATCGGAGCTGGAGCAATAGTACAGTGGGTAGGGTGTTTGCCTTGCATGTGGCCCGACTCGGGTCCAATTCCCAGCATCCCATATGGTCCCCTGAGCACCGCCATGGGTAATTACTGAGTGCAGAGCCAGGAGTAACCCCTGTGCATCGCCGGGTGTGACCCAAAAAGGAAAAAAAATTACTTTATCAAAAAAATGAGAAGAGGAAGGGGAGACAGACCTTCTCAAGGAGACATATAGATGGCCAAAAGGTGTATGAAGAAAGGTTCATGCACCTTTTTCGTCACTTATCATTAGGAAAATTAAATGAGAACAACAATGAGATATCCCATACCAGTTAGGCTGGCACACATTACAAGAAGCAAAACAACCAGTTTTGGTGGGAATTTGGGGAAAAAGAAACCTTCATTCACTGATGGTGGAATTATCTACTGATCTAGCCATTCCTGGAAAACAATATGGACACTTCTTACATAACTGGGAATTGAACTTCCATATGATCCAGCAGTTCCACATTTTGACATCTACTCTAAGGGCCCAAAAACTCTATTCTGAAAAGATATTTGAACTTCTATGTTCATTGAAGCACTACTTACAATAGCCAAAACATGGAACAACCCAAACTTCCAAGAATAGATGATTGGATAAAGAAACTATGGTACATATACATAATGGAATATGCTACTCAGCTTTAAGAAAATATGCAATTTGCTGCTATATGAATAGATCTGGAGGGTGTTTTGCTAAGTGAAGTTAGAAGGAGAGGGACACAGGATGATCTTTCTTCTATGGGGATACAAAGAAACATGTAACAAATGCCCAAAGGCAACAGAAACTGAGAACTGGTCTTTAGCAGGAAGTTTACAGAGAGAGCAGGTACTCTGGGACAATGGTGGAGATAAGCAAACACTCTGGTAAAGGTTGTGGTGCTGGAAATGTATTATACATTAAACCCTACCATTAACAGTTTTGTAAACTACAGTGCCTAAAATAAAATCTTAAAAAAAGACCCATATGTATATATATATGCGCGCACACATATACAAAGACACACACATATACAGACACATAAATAAAAGGATAAATGAAATTCAAATTCCTCCTACATATAAAAGTGAATAGTGTTGCTATTGTTTGAGCTACAAAAAGGAGAAAGTGTAGAGGATATAACAATCTAAGGACAAGAAAAATTAATAGCTCCACTATGGACTTATTAAAATTTTAGGCTCTCTTGAGAACACTATAAAGGACATTTGAAAGAAAGGGTTAAACAACCAAAGCTATCAAAAGGTGATTAAATTCAAAAGGTATAAGGAACTCAGGTAAGGAAGAATGCTGAAGCTGGGGAAATGGTTCAATGGTCAGGGACACATGCTTAGCATATCCCTGGATCTGAGTTAGACTCCACTACCACATAGCCCCCATACATCACGGGTGTGGCCCAAGTAGCATTGCATCTCTATGCTTGAGAGTTGAGCCATTTATTTTCTGGGTTAGTTGAGCATTGCCAGGAGTGGCCTCTGGTCCCCACTACTTCATGGAAAGTGTCAAAAATAAATGAATAAAGGTAAGAAAGCTGAAGGATGAATTAGGTTATAAATTCAAATACAGAGTTAGTAAGAAAAAGTACAGGAGAGGGGGGTCTGGTGCTGCCAGCAGGTCAATCTGTACCTGTGAGGCGAGTGCATCAGCAGCCTGATGGCACCGTCAGGCCTTCAGATACCCCAAAATTGCTGCTGTGCTTTGTCCAGACCCCAAAAACTTGGGGCAAAGTTTACCAAGAAAGTAAACGGCCAAAAGTTAGGTATGTGGGAGACACACTCACAAACCACCTCCGGCTCAGCTATATAATTGGAGGCCTGGCCTCTCTGGTTCCTGATCGAACTGCTTAATGGCCATGATCCCAGAGACTCAGAAACGAATATTGGAACCCAAAGGCTTTTGGCAGAAATGCGTCCTGTTACTGCAGTAGGTTACTGGGGCTGGGCCACTCCAGGTGGGAATAGGTTTCATGCCTTGTCCTGTTCCCCTTGGTGACTGTCATCCTCCAGAGGCCACAAGACAGTCAGGTTTGGGCCTGCAGTGATGAGACACGCGGGGCCTCACCAGATGGGGGTGGAACCAGCCCTTTCCTCCCCATCCCAGCGAGACCTCGAGTCGTCATCTACAAATGGCCTCTCTGGCTCCTGATAAAGCTGATCAATGGCCACGATCCCAGAGACTCAGAAACAAATCTTGAAACCCAGCAGCTTTTGGCAGAAATGCATCTGGACCGCATATATGGCCATGGCTCCAGAGGCAAAAGGACTTACTCCAGAGCCTGACAACTTGCAGCAGAAAAGTGAATGGACCATGCATTAAACTACGGCTCCATTCCTCCCCAAGAGGGAAAGGGTGTTGCTCCCTTCCACCTTTTTCCCCCCTGGCAGCAAGGTGGCTGCCTCCTCAGAGCTTATTGGAAAGCCAGGTATGAGCCAGCGGTGACGGGGCAACTGCAGTCTCATGGGAAGGGGGGGCGGTAACGGCTCGTCCTTCACACCCTACTGAGGTCACAAGTTGCCCCCCAAAAGCGGCTCTCCGGCACAGTCATAACACCAGACGCACAGAAACCAATCTCTAAATTATCTGGTTCTTTACAGAAATCCAAAATTATATAATTCTCATAACCAGCTATAGAAAACAAAGTATTTCACAATGCCTTTTCAACAAGTCTGATTGTTGGGGGAAAATTCTAAACAATAATGGCACATCTTTTGTTGAAATGATGAATGTAATCAAAGTAGAGAAGATAAATCATCTGCCTCACAGGCATTGGGTGGGGTAGGAGGGGGGTATATTGGGGTTAATAAATAAAACTATGGAAAAGAAAAAGTAAGGTGAAGTTCATGCCCAATTCAATCAGCTACTCAGTGGCTGAATAAATAGCAGTACTCCTACATAAAAAAAAAAAGTACAGGAGGGGGAATAATGGATTTTGTAGCAAAGATTTTAGTTGAATACTGAGAAATAGTGGAAGGAAAATCCTGTAAATATGAGAGATTCTGGAGGTGTTCTGAGGGAAAAAATGAGGAGGAGCACCAAGGTTTTGTGGGCAGGTATGAAATGGATGACAGCAACCCAGGTGGTCAAACTAAGGAAAATTTCTAAACAAGAGAACTGGAGATTGAGAAATTTAGAGTTCTAACAGATACCCATGTGATACACCACATGAACAAAAGGAAAGATAAAAATCTTATTAACAGATGCATGGAATACTTTTGACAACATGGCGAAGCGTATGTGGTGCCCGAGCACATGTGTCGCCTGCATCTCCCCTCTTGAGATGTGTACTTTCATGCTTTCGTGTCTAATGTTAGGATGTGTGTAGGGGCCTTCTCTCTCTCTCTCTCTCTCTCTCTCTCTCTCTCTCTCTCTCTCTCCCCCTCCATCCCTCCCTACCTCCACACCTTAAAAATCCTCCAAATCTATTTATTTAAAAAAAAAACAGTTTATAACAAAAACTCTCAAAATGGGGGTAGAAGGGCTGGATCCCTGAGCATGAAGCCAGGAGAAAGTCCTAAGCACCGCCAGTTGTGGCTGCAAACCCCATCAAACCCCCCCACAATATATACTTAAGAAAGTAGATGTTCTTAATGCAAAAAAATAAATATGTTAACTATATGTGTTGACAAGTGTATTAACTAACCTTCTTGTGATAAACTTCATTATATACAACAATCAAATCATCATATATCTTAAATATACTTATTCCATATTTTATGACAGTTATAACTCAATAAAGTTAGAGCAGAAAAGAAAAGCTAAGCAGAAGTATAAAATCATTTACTATGTTTCATGAACTGAGTAAATGTTAATATAATTTCTTTCTTTTTTTTTTTTTGGCTTTTTGGGTCACACCTAGCAATTCTTAGGGAGTTACTGTTGGCTCTGTGCTCAGAAATTACTCCTGGCAGTGCTTGGGGGACCATATAGGATACCAGGGATCGAACCCAGGTCAGTCGCATGCAAGGCAAATGCCCTACCCACTGTACTATTACTCTGGCCCCGCTAATATAATTTCTTATAAATTCCGTGATAAATTGCTTTGATATTAAAAATTTTTATTCTTAATTATTTCAAAGTAATGAGTTGACCATCTTACCTGGTTCACTTTCCAAGCTAATTTCCTCATCTGGCAAAACTAACCTAAAATAAATTTTAAAAAATTATAGATTTTCATTTAAAAACTTTTGAGACTCATATTCTATAACAAATTTTATATTGTTAAAAAGGAGGTTTAACTGAGGAGACATTAAAATAATTGTGTGGCACAACTCCAAAAATGTGTCTGAAACAAGTCTGTGGCTCTAATTAGACTGAAAATATTTCTCTGCCCCTTATTCTCTCAGTAAACATTTACTGGGTATCTATGTAGAACAGGGACCATGTTCAGCACAACAGGCCTTTGCTAAGAACTCTAGCAAACTGTCTCCAAAGTCATAAATATGCTTTCTAAGCATTGAAGGGTTTTGTTCAAGAATACTTGGGAATGAAATTAAGGACATATATACCTAGCTCCATTGTCAAAAATTAACTGTCCATAGACCTTAGAGTTTAATTAGGTTTAATTCCAATCCATTGGTGTGACAATTTATTTATAGTCTACTATCATGATGCTTTGATTATTATAGCTTCTTAAGATAATTTAAAGTCATGAATGTGATACCTCCCAATGTCTTTTTTTTCTCAAAATGGTTTTGAACATTTGGGAGTTTATGGTTCCATACAAATTTAAGTAGTGCTTGTTGTAAGTCTTTAAAGAATGTCATTGAGATTTTTAAAGAAATTTTTTAACTATATTATATAATAATATAATATATTATATAATATTATAATATATTATATACTATATAATAATATCCAGGACTTTCAAAATATATTTAATTTTTGCCTGCTTACTTATTGAGGTTTTCAGTAAGAAAACTGTTTTCTACTTGTTCTTCTTTGTGATCTTCAGTAACCTTGCTTGAAGTGTCTTGAAGTTGCTAAAGAAATTCAACATTAAGTAAATATGAATAAGTTGTTTTTCCCTTTGTGCAAAGTGAAAATAAAAATATAAATAATAATTAGTATGGAAATAATTTTCAAGTGGAAATGAGAGATATGGGAAATGTAATTTGAACTGAACCCACGTTTTTGTCTATCCTGGTTGCCTATGGCAACCATACACACATTTACAAGGGCTAGTCACAGGGTTTACAACATTGTAAAACTTATTGAAAGGTAGTCAATGGACTGGTAGATGCTATATAATAATATGACTTAAAAAATTCATACTGAGCTGCAGAGCTTAACAGGCTAGAGTTCGTGCTTCACATGCAGGATACCTAGGTTTGATTCCCAATGCTATACAGTACTCTAAGCTCTACACTGTGAGTAACCCCTGAGAACTGTACAATTAATGCCTCCCCCTGAAAATCTCCCCCCAAAAATCTATACCAAGCCCCAGGAGTATACAGGTGTAAGACTGCAAGATATGAACTCATCACAGATATCACATCTAGCTTGAGAAAATTCAATTACATTTTCTTTCTTTTAAAATTTTTTTCATTTTTTGGTGGGGCAGTTGGGCAGGCAGTGCTCATAGCTTATTCCTGGCTCTGTGCACAAGAATCAATCCTGTCAGTGTTCTTGGGACATATCTGATGCCAGGATTGAACTGGGGTCAGTCACATGCAAGCCAAGTGCCTTAACCCCTGCATAGTCTCTCCAGGACACCAATGATATTTTTGAGCTCAACTTAAAATAAGTCAGAATGTTAAGTTCAAAGGTATTTAAATCTAGTCATAACTGAAGAAGTGATTAACATATATGGACTCTGATGGAAAATCCATACATACGGAAAGTTAATAGGAAGCTATAGGAATATTTGAAACATTCTAATCATAGCCCAAGAGTTCCTTTTACATGTAACTGTTTTAAAAAGAGCTGATTTAATGCAATATATCAGACATATATAGTGACCTAAACTGGCATGATTTTTTTTGTATCATGAATCACATCTATGGCATCAGCGTAAAAGTAAAACAAGAAAAATTTTCTTGAACTTCTACAAATATTAGATAAGTAATCTGGCCATATTTGAACAGTGCATAATTTTATATAATTTCTTCTCCTTACGTTTTCCTTGCTGTGTCTTTTCTTATGCCACTATATTTTAGTTTTATTTTCACTCCCCCTTCCCCCTCCCCCACTATACTCAAATAGCTTGTGCCTGCCAAACATATGCCTATGTATTTGTATAGTGCTGCTGGTAGTATTTGCATCAGGGAAGTGCAGACATCTGACTGAAGGTAAGCAAAGGGTTCTCTGTTTTGTAAATTTGAAATTAAGCTTAGCAAAAAGAACTCTGACTGCTATCTAAATTAAGTGTAATTTATCTGGCAAAAGAACACGGGGAACTCAGAGGACAGCAGCATGAGCTCTGCATGCAGGAGATCCAGATTCCAATGCCACCAGTATGCCCAGGAGCAGGCCACCAGCAATATGCCAGGAGTAGCCCCTGAGTGCCACTAGTTGTGGTCCCCAAACAGAAGAAACAAGACAGAAAGAAAAGAACACGGAAAGAAAAATACCTTGAGAGCTACATAACCATAAGGATGAAAGCCAATACAGGCCCCATCAATTTGGGACATCATTCCAGCTGTTTTCTCCCAGAATCCAAGCAGTGTTCTCTGCAGAAAAAAAGAAAAGGTACACTACAGTTATGCTTCCTCTGCAAGAATATTTTTAAGTGCTGCTTTTTTTAAAAAATCACTAGTGTAGTAGATGAGTAGTCATTATATAACAAAAAGCAGGAACTTGTTCAGGGGACCAAAAAGCACAATGAACAGTAACTCTACATAAGAATTGGCATCTGTGTCTTCTCATGTGTGTGCCTGCCTGTCTAAGCACTAGAAGGTACCCTAAAGTCAGCTGGAGAGAAACTATAGCCAAGACAACAAAACTGATGAATTCGAACACTTTTGAGAAATATGAAAGAAATTTTTTTTTTTTTTTTTTTTTTTTTTGCTTTTTGGGTCACTCCTGGCTCTGCACTCAGGAATTACTCCTGGCGGTGCTCAGGGGACGATATGGGATGCTGGGACTCGAACCCAGGTTGGCTGCGTGCAAGGCAAACGCCCTACCCGCTGTGCTATTGCTCCAGCCCCCACAAAAGAAAAATATTAAAAGCACAAAAATACCATATTTATATCAGGGATGTGTGTAAATCTTTGTTGGTGAGCATACGTAAGCTTTTATTTGTTGGAGGAAAAATCATATGAAAGGCCACTAAACTTGGTCTTTCAAAGGTTCTAGAGTACTTGCCAAAAGAAAAGGTGTTCTTCTGACAACTCAAGTAACTGGACATTTTCGTAGTTGCTTCAAGGATTTTATCCAAAGAGAGGGGACCTGGAAATGTGGCTTAAAGCCCTTTCCCCACACTCACAAGGTTCAAACCCCAGTGCCACCTGTATGCTGAGGTGATCCTGACAGCTCTGCTGTTTGGGAATCCACGATGAGAAAGGGTAAAAGATGGCTCACTGGCTTTGGAAATTTCAGGGTAAGTATGAGGTCAATGAGTTCAATCTCTATATGCCTTAAGGCAATTATCCAGTCCTAGAGTCTGGGGATTCGCTTTGAGGGAATAAGGGAAAGAAGTGAGGAGGGTTAAGCGAAGAGAAAGAACAAAGCAAAACTGAACAAACTGTGACTGTATTTCAGACACTGTGCTATACAGAATGCCATATACTTTTATTTTTAAGTACATCTTTTTTTTCATTCCTCAATTCCACAGTACTGAACTGAAATAGGTAGATTCCCTAAAAGCAGCCATGAATACCCATTTCCTTTAGCTTATTGTTTTTACTTATAAACACAATTTATTCTTCTATTTTGACATTCATATTAAAATCAGTAACTGTGGGGCTAGAGAGATAGCACAGAGGTTAAGATGCTTTGCCTTTACATACAACTGATCTATCCCTGGCACGACATATGGTCCCTTGAGCATTTCCAGGAATGATCCTTTAAACACTGAGGATGTAGCTCCCAAACCAAAACAAAAATATCTATAATTGTTACTTATTAATATCGAACTTATTCATTGCATGCTACTTCTATTTTTCAGTGTTTCTGGTTTTGTTGTTGTTGTTGTTGTCGTTGTCGTTGTTTTGATTTTGAGTCACACCCTGTGCTGCTTAGTGCTTCTTTCTGGCGTTGTACTCAGGGATCATTCCTGGCAGTTCTCAGGTATATGGTGCTAGGAATAGAACTAGGATCGCCATATGCAAAACCTTAACCCTGTACTATATTTTTGGCCCCCACGTGAGAGTTTAGAGATCACAGTGGTGTGAGATGGCAGTTCAGAATGAAAGGAATGTAAAACCCATAATGAAAAACTTAGGCTTTAAAACCCAACAATTCTATTTAATTATAGATTATACTTTCCTCATTCATAAATGACAAAAACTTAAAATTTTTAAGCCATAGAATCTTAGTCTCAAAGAAATTTTACAGAGAAGTTCAAACTGAGAGTACTTCTAGATGACCAGGACTAATGAGACTTGCCTCAATATTCTTCTCCTCATCCCTATTTGGTCTGTGTATCTCTCCTAAAACACCAAATGGAACATGTGAAGTTACAAGAGTAAGCAATACCTAAGGTTTTTTTTTAATCTAAAATTCTATGTTTCTTTGTTGTAACTCCAATAAGTCAACTGTAGCAGAGACAAAAGAATCTGATAAGTTATAGAATTTTTTATTTTTCACACCCTTTAGACAACTTTTAAAAAGGAATCTCACCACTCATCTTTACTGCAAGGACATGCTGACCATGGAGGTGGGTACCTGGTAGGTAGTGAGTGAATGAGATAACATATTGCAGCGACTAGCTCCAAGTAAATCCACTTTCTGACAAACATCCATCTTTAACTTGTCAAAAGAAGCTTTGCTATTTCTCACTTGGATCTGCACCTGCAATCATAAAAAAAAGAATTATAAATAACACAGACATAGCTACACCATGCAGATTTTAAGACATGTATTTTCTGACTTAAAATATTATAAATTGAAATACAGATATTCTATTTTTTGTATAGAAGGTGAGTTATATCCCACCAAGTAGTTTGACTACTTAACTTTTAAGTATATTCAATCAAGTAACAAATATTTACAATATGTTTATTAGGTGTCAGGTACTGTTCTAGGCACTGGGAAAATGTAGTGTACAAAAATATTCTACATAACCCCTGAAAGATGAGATCCAGGAAAAGTAAATAATTAAATATACTTCGGAAGTCCTTAGTGAGTGCATGCATGATGTTTTAGTTGGAATATAAGATGATATGTGGTTGGGCTAGAGAAACAGTAAAGTACATGGACACTTTCCTTACATGTATAAAACCCTAATTTCTTGAGTGTAAATCCTTAGCACCACTATTCATAGCCCCCAAACAAACAAAATATGTGGTTTGTTTCTAAAACCCTTAGGGCAGAATAGTATAGTTTAGTGACAAATTTAAAAACTTCACTTTATGTAAATGTTTACTTAAATTAAATATTCTCAGGGCTGGAGAAATAGTACTGCAGGTAGGGCTTGCACGGGCAGACTCAGGTTCAATCCCCAGCATCCCATATGGTCCCCTGAGTATTACCAGGAGTAATTCCTGAATGCAGAGCCCAGAGTGATCCCTGAGTGTCACTGGGTGTGGCTGAAGAACAAACCAACAACGAACAAGTTACATATTTCCCTCACTAGGAAAATTTCCCTTCTACTGCCATATTTCCATATTCCAAGTAAACAATATTTAGAGCATAGTTAAGCATATCGTGAGGAGGATTTTTTAAAAAAATCAATAGAAATTGTTGATGGGTTTGGAGTGCTACCCAAAAAGTAAGAATGCTGATTATAATTTCATATAATTTCAGTAGGTTTATGAATAAAGAGAAGGAAGTATTTTCATACTTTTCTGAATTTTTCCATTTGTTTTAAGGTTTCTGGATCAAGTTCCTGAGATACATCTTTCATCCACAGTAAAGCTCCTCTGTATTCTGTGCGTGCCTGCTCCATCCGATTAATTGTCACCAAGGTATCAGATACTGCCCTTTTACTGAATGTTGCTACTTCTTGCTTAAGACGAGACAGGGGAATACATAGGGCCAGTCTAATGGTAGAGAGGTAAAAATCAGAAAGGTATACGTTTCATAAAAAAAACCCACATATTTAAAATAGCCATAAAGCATATTTATTATCAAGATGAATTGATAAACAGGAATTATTAAAATGTCTAAGAAAATTTAGAAACTTTTTATACAGTCAATTTAGAATTATCAATAAAGATGTGTCTTTATCTTCTGCTTTTCTTATTTTAGGAAATATATAACTTTTGCAATATTTTCATACTAATTCATGTATAAACAACCTGCCAAGAAAAACTGACATAAAAAGAAGTTCTATGAATCAAAGGGTCCCTGTATTCATAAAACATAACCCTGTTAATAAGTAGAAAGTCTTTCACTTGACAAATTTCATAAATCCTGGGTACAGAAAAACTTACTGAAATAATACAAGAACTAATGAGGGAGGGGAAATTGGCTTAGAGGAACTAGAACACATGTGTTGCATGCAAGAGCTCCAGGTTCAGTTCCTGGCACCTCGTGGTCCTCTCAAGCACCGCCCAGAATGACCCCTAAGCACATATCCAGGAGTGGCTCCTGAGCACTGACTGTGTGTATCCTCTCCCTCACAAAGAGAGAGGGGGAACTAATGAAGGGACAGGGATTATACTTTGCATTGATGTGATGTTTCAGAATAATATAGCCATGTAAGTTGTGCCTTCATCAGAGATGATAGGGCCTGTTTTTTTCTTCTGAAACTGCAAAGATTTATAATTATAATAGAAAACTCTGTGAAGGTATCTCTATATCAAAAATTATAAAATGATAAAACTTAAAGCATAGAATCAGGAGAAAAAATTTCCCTCCTAGGGCTGTAGCAATAGTATAGCAGGTAAGGAACTTGCCTTGTACATAGTTGACCCAGGTTCAATCCCTGGTACTGCATATAATTTTCCAAGCACCAACAGGAGTAATTCCTGAGTGCAGAGTCAGGAGTAGTCCCTGAGCACCACTGGGTAAGGCACCAAAACTACAACAAACAAACAACAACTTCCAATACACATATGTATAGTATAAAATCCAAAAAAAAGTGAAAAAGAATATAATATAAATGTTTAGTTGTTCTGTGCTTGTTGCATTAAATCACTAAGAAAATTTAAATATGGGCCTAAAGGCTATTTATAGGAATAAAGTAACTAACAATGACAACTTTTTTTGTTTATTTTTGGGCCACACACAGTGGTGCTCAGAGGATACTCCTGGCTCTGCATTCAGGAATTATTCCTGGTGGTGTTAAGGCACCATATAGAATGCCAAGGATTAAACTTGGGTTGGCCAAGTACAAGGCAAACACCCTACCTGTTGTACTATCACTTTGGCCTCATGAGAATGTCAAATTTTAACTAATTATTTTAAACACAAAATAAGAGCTAGGCATCAAAATAGTTATAAACCTGAAATTTCTCTCTTTTTTTTAAAACTCTCTAGCAGAATGATCAGTAACCTATGTAAATATGAATATTTAGGACATACATCAAAACATAGACTATCTAGATTTTAGGATGATGCAAAACTATGGAAAACCTTTGCTTGGCTGAAGAACAGAGAGCCTTGCCAGTGGCATCCATCATTTTGCCAGCTTGGGTTGCATCCCGTTCTGCTTGAAACTTTAAAAATAGCCCTAGTTCATTTTCTTCCTCCGATATAACTAGGAAAAAAAATAGTGTAATTAATAGTTTCATTTCATAATCCACTTAAAACACACACCTAAATTCTCACTGCATTATTTCTCTATACATAAGAATTACTTGGGAGAAGAAAGATTAACTTTTAAATGTAAATTCCTAGGTTCCATTTCTAAAAATCCTGATTTTATGGGTATGAAAATCTGCTTTATTCAAAAGCATTCCAGATGATTCTGATGTAGTGAATTCATGGACCTCACTTTGAGAAAGGTTAATCTTTAGTGAAAAAACGAATTCCCAACCTATAAAATGAAACTACAAATAAATTCATTTTCAAATGCACAGAGACACATTTTGGGATCATTACTTGCCCATTTCAGTTTGTTAACTTATTCATCAATTCTATTCTAGGTTCACTTCATCTGCTTAGTATCCCAGACCCATAAATGTTCAGAATAATTTTTCTGGTGAAATCTTAAAAGTTTCACCAGCAAAATGACAGTCTGGAACCATTCGTTACTAGCCTGTGACAGTTACTGAAATCTAAATATTCAAAGGGGACCTACTCTCTATCCTTCTCAAGCTCTTCCAGAAAGAGAAAGAAAAAAGAATACTCCCAGTTTCTATGAGGCCAACATTACTCTGATACTAAATGTGGACACACATCACTAAAAAAGAAAATTACAAATATCCCTGATGAACATAAATACAAATATCTCAATAAAAATCTATCAAATTGGACCAAAAATACATTAAACGGGTTATACACTATGATAAAGTAGATTTATCCCAGGAATTCAAGGATTGTTCAAATACGGTTTCAAAGATCTCAATATCAGATGTATATAAGATAAACCGAAGAAAACAAAGACAGAATTCTCCCTGATATCTACCTCAAAGATCTACAAGGAGGTCACTGGCAAAGAAAACAAAAACAGAAATACACAAATGGAACTACATAAAATTTAAAAAGCACTGCATTGAAAAAGCTATGATGTCAAAAATAGAAAGCCTTTCTACTGAATGGGAGAAAATATTCACATAGCTTGGCCCAGGCAAAGAACTAATATCCAAGATACATTAAGCATTCACAAAGTTCAAAAATAGGAAAACAACCACATCAAAAAAATGGGGAAAGTTGTTCAACGACAAGTCATTAAAGAATATAAAGATTGCTTGGCCAATAATAGGCATATAAAAATGTTCGTCATCACTGATAATCAGAGATATGCATACCAACAAAACAACTGTGAGTTATCACCTCACACCAGAGAAAATGGTCTTTATAAAAAGTGTCCAGAAACAATTTGTTCTGTAGGGATAGATGAATAGCAAACCTATATTCACTATTACTGGGCCCATTGTTGGTTCAGTCTCAATGGAAAATGGTTTGTAGACTTCTCAAGAAATTAGAAATAGAAGGGCTGGAGAGATAGTACAGTGGATAGGGTGTTTGCTTGCATGCGTCCAATTTGGTTTTTATCCCAAGTACTCCTTATGGGCCCTTGAGCATTGCAGCAGGAATGATCCCTAAGCACAGAGTCAGGAATAAGCCCTAAGTACCATTGGGTGTGGCCCAAAAAACAAACAAATAAATTAAAAACAGAACTTTCATATGACCCAGTATTACCATTCCTGGATATCTACCCCAAACATCCACTAAAACATTCAGTAAGATACATATACACACCTATTTTCATTTCTGGCTGACTCGGGTTCAATTTCTCCACCCCTCTCGGAGAGCCCTGCAAGCTACCAAGAGTATCCTGCCCGCGTGGAAAAGCTTGGAAAGCTACCTGTGACGTATTCGATATGCCAAACACAGTAACAACACGTCTCACAATGGAGACGTTACTGGGCTCGCTCAAGCAAATTGATGAACAACGGGAGGACAGTGCTACAGTGCAGTGCTACTATTTACAATAGCCAATAGCAGAAAACAATGCAAGTGGCCAACAAGTAAGTCAATAAAAGTTGTGGTCTAAGGACTGAAGAGATAGTACAGTGGGTAAGGTGCTTGCCTTTAACATAATTAGCCAAGGGTCAGTTCCTGGCATTGCACATGGTCTACCAGACACCACTAAGAATGATTCCTGAAGAGTTAAGTCCTGAGTATAGCTAGATGTGGTCCATAAAGCAATATGGATCTAGCATTGAGAAATCCTGAGTTTTGTTTCTGCCTCAGATATACAAAATAACTTCCCTTTCAGTTTTCAACTTCAGTTTTTTTTCCTTTAGGAAGCTAGTGTGAGATATTTAAGAAAGAATGCAATAACATCATAGGGAGAAGGGACCTGTGACAATAATGGAGAATAATGGAGAGTTTTGGATATTCAGATTATTTGAGAGGTTACTGAGAGGAAAAAATACCTACTCTATTTCCATTCTTATATAATGACTCAGAAAACTCCAATGATGTCACTGAATTACTTCAGTACCCATTTCTAGGTAGCAACTGAACACAAATTTTCATTTAGCCTTAAATTTACCAATGCAAGTTAAATATGCTGATTCTGTGTTATAAGCTTTTGTCCAAGATCAGAGTCCCTACTTCTGTGTATTCTTTCCCTAGTCATGTTATTTCCACAAAGGTTTGCAGCACTGAACTAATTTGTTGTAGCTGACTGATTCTATTCTAAATAGGATATATATGAATAGTCTTCAAAAAACCACCTATTTATATACACAATATTGAAGAAAAACTGCACAATATTATCTAAACATGCACCTTTCTCCTTTATCATGAAACTGTTCCAACAAACTACTAAAAGATCAAATTATTTAAAAGCAAAATACAGGTTATACAAGTGTGCCAATGGTTCTTCACATTTCAACTTCGATGACATTTTGGAGTATCACTAAGAAAACCTTATGTCGACTTCCTTGGTCCAATCATTTTGATGACTTTATTGATTGGAGAAATATTTCGAGTCTTTAACATCTGACCCTAATCTTCCTTCTTTTGTCACTCTGTAAGTTCCACTTCAAACTCTCTTGCCTATGCAGGTTGTTCTCACTCTTTAAATTCACAACTCCTCACTCCAAATCTCTTACTTTTCCACATATTCAACTTCTATAAACATTTCATTTTTACTTCAGTTCTTACTTATAGAATTGGTTTTAACAATTACATTAATTCTTGGTTATAATTCACTCTGAGGAATTCAAAACATGTCTGCATCATGTTTAGAACTCAATTATATATTATTTTATAGCTTATATTGTAATGCTAACATTTCATTGGGAAAATCACAATCCTGCAACATGACAGGCACCAAAAAACATTTTCATGTTATAGTCAAGTTCCTGTTTTAGTGACATAATATATGAGGTTTGACTAAAAAGTTTAAGATTAATTTACATAAGAAAATCACTTACTGAACAAATATTTACTGCATATAGCCACTGTTTCTAGATTTCGAGGACACACAAGTAAAAGAGATATATCTATCTCTTAAGATATCTATCCTTAAGAAGACCATATTATAGCACTTGGAAGAAAAACAATGCACAAAATATGTAGACTATTGTCAAGTACTATACTGTTCATAGACAGGATATTATGAAAAATAACATTCAACTTTAGATATGTAGGTAAGAAGATCTCACTAAACAAATGTTTAGAAAGCCTACTAGGTACTTGGTACATAAGTCTAATAATGAAGATCAATGTGACTGAAGATGAGTTCTAGGATTGAAGAGATGATAGAATCAAATAAGAGAGATGGCCACATTCAGGATCACTTTAATTAAAGAAGTCCAAAGGCTGAATTCCAATATAAAGAAATCAAGAAAAGAGGAAAATTTAGCTATGATAGACTACTAAAAATGAGTAATTAATAGAGAAAATCCAGGAATGTCTGGTACCTGAAAGTTCAGAGAGTGTATCAAGAACAGGGAAAGAGCAGCTATGTTGAAAAAAAAAAGAAAAGAAAAATAAAGAAAATCTGGGGCTGGAGAGGTAGTACAGCAGGTAGGCCACTTTCCTTGAACCCAGACAACCTGGGTTCAGTCCCCAGCATTCCATATCCTGGAGCACAGCAAGGAGTAATTCATGAGTGTAGAGCCAGGAGTAACACCTGAGCATTGGCAGAGGTGGTCCAACCCCCATGCCCATAATCCTACCCCCCAAATAAATATAAAAGAAAATGTGACAAGGCCCAGATTGTGACTCGGCACTAGATAATATGCCTAGCATTTGTGAGGCCCTAGGACTTGATCCCCTGTACCACATACTCAGGTACTTATCACACATGATAAGTCAAGACAAAAAAAAAATTGTACTTAGGGGCAGAGAGTTAGTACAGTGGGTAGGGTGCTTGCCTTGAACATGACAGACCTGGATTTTATCCCTGGCATCCCATATGGTCCCCCAAGCACTGCCAGGGGTGATCTGTGGACTCAGAGCCAGAAGTAAGCATTACTGGGTGTGGCCCCCCAAAAGAAAACCAAGAAAGAAATGTATATAAATCTTAACTATGATAAGAGCAATTTGGTAGAGCAGTGGGAATAAAAACTTGACTGGTGCGAACACAACAGAAAGTTGAAGAGAATAAATGGAGAACAACACAGATTTTCTATTTGTAGGGGGCATGGGGAATGGGATGGTAACCAAAATTCAAGAGGGAATTTTAAGTAACTCTGGACAGAAAAGTAAACTTAGCAAAATAAATTTGTGTCAGACAATTTAATGAACTGATATAGACATTTGGGACTCTGAGAACAGGTCACTATTCTTTGTCATAAGAAAGCAAGCACAAGAATAGTTTTAAACGACTATATTATAAATTCTTTTAAATGCAAATGAGTATTTAAACAGGAATATTTAGATATATATCTGTGACTTCATACCATTGAGTCTTAGCTGATATTTCTCAACTATCTTCAGAAGTTCAGTGCATGTCTCTTGAATGGAGTGAAAAACCTTTGAAATATAAAATTTATTAGGACATTTTAAAGAACCATAAACAATCATAAAATATATGTTATAAGTACTTAAAAAGCAGAACATTTGCTTGTAAGTATTATGCCTGTTTTCCTTGACTTTTAATGAACTTTGGTCTTGTTTTTATTTCTGTTATAGAAACCACAGTTAGATTTACCCAAGAGGTTTTGAGGAAAGATGATAAGGGAAGGTAATAAAAATTTACAACTATCCCCTCCGTTACTATTTAAATAGTAACAAAGTAGATCAAATATAAACAGCATTAAATATTGCCAACCACAGATTAAAATAACTTTAGAAAATGTCAATTCTGAGTCTGGCTTTTCTCCATTATTGGTCTAAACATAGCAGATCAGTAGAGTTATAATAAAAATTAAATGATGGGGGTCAGAGCACATGCCTTGCATGCAGGAGGCTGGATTCAACCTCTGGCACCGAGTTTAGTCTCTGCACACCTGCAGGAGCAACTCCTGAGCATAGAGCTAGGAGTAGTCCCTGAGCAACACTGGCTGTATCCCCCTCCCCCCCCCAAAAAAAAGAATAAAAAGAAAATAATGTATTACTGAATCAAAAATAATTCACTTCTGGGGGACCAAAGAGATTGTCCAGCAGGTAGGGTACAGCGCCAACCCACGTTTAATACCCAGCATCCGACATTGTCCCCTAAGATTCTCTAGGAGTGATCTCTGAGTGCAAGCTAAGTTCTGAGCACTGCCTGCCAGGCATGGCCCAAAAAACCCACTGAAAAGATAAAATATCCAGAAGACTCTCATTTCAAAGTTAGCATATTATACATATGAGAAAACTCTTAACACATATTTTTATATTTAGACTTTCTGAAGAAAAAAGCAGGTATAGGTTTTGGATGCAACTTCCTTCTGACAAAACTAAGAGACTTATTTTTTTTTTAAAAAAAAAGAGAGCATCAGATGTTAGGGATGCTGTTTAGCAGTAGATCACATGTCTTACCTGTAAGAGGCTCTAGATTCCATCCCTAACATCACTCCCTGCCCCCCCGCCCCCACACACAAGCTTTATGGTAAATAATAGGTCCTAGCCCTTCGATTATCAAATAAATTCCAAATGTCATTATTATGTCCAGAATTCTATTTCTTAAGTAGTGTTTCTGTCATTGTGTTTGGTAAGACCCAAGAAAGACTGATGAGACATTAAGCTATTTTAATTGTTTTCACATTAAAATCACAATGAAAGGGCCCTCATCAATTTTTCATGTAAATTCAGGCACTGAACTATATATAGTATTTGGATTTGACACTTTAAAAAAGCTGTTTTATGGGACCAAAGAGATAGTACAGCCAGTAGTGATTCCTGAGGACAGAGCCAGAAATAAGCTCTGAGCTCCACTGGATTTGGCCTCAAAACCAAAATAAATAAACAAATAAATGAATAGCTGTTTTAAATCCATGAAGAGGTAGATTAAAAATATTAAAATGACAGTTATACTCTGATATAGTGATTATGGATGACTTTTCCCCCATAGGTCTTTGGAAGATTGCTATACTATTAACTTTATATCATATAATGAAATTTTCCAGTCTTAATGAGATTCAATTTGACAAATACATGTGTTTTATATATATATATATAATGTGTAAGACTTGATTATTTGATATTGGTATAAACATACTGAAAATAGTTTTAATTCTTAAAAAAACTGGTACATGTGTATCATAAATTCTTGGTTGATTTCAAATATTGTCTAATTGATAAGAATAACAGTGACTAAAAATTATCACTTAGAGATTATATAACAACATAAACCAATGCCAAAAGACAACTTCCATGGAAATGTAAAGTGAAGAACTCCCATACTGTTAAAACATATATCACTTTATATAAAGTCCCTTCCGTTTTGTCATGTATGTTGCTGAATTCTAGATGAATACTTTTCAAAACAAACAGTAAGATCTTAGTAGTTTGTTCTTTATTTCTGTATTTGTTTTCTTTGTGTTTTTCAGCAGCACCCAGCAGTGCTCAGGGGGCTACTCCTGGCTCTGTGCTCAAGGGTGATTCTGAGTGGTGCTCAGGGGGACTCTCTGGTCGACCAATCTGGGTCAAACATACAAAGCAAGCACCTTAATTCCTATATTATATGTCTATGACCCTCTATCCATAATAATTTAAATGAAAACTTCAATCTACAAATTTTCTTAATCATCATTTGACTTCAATTTATCCAGTGAGCTATAAAACCTCATATACATATACTAGAAAATATCATGATATAATAATGTCTCAAGAATCTATTCATTACTGGGCTGGGGATATAACACAATGGGTAAGGCATTTGCCTTATGTAGCTGAATGGGTTTGATTCCCAGCACCCTATATGGAACCCTGAGCCCTTCTAGAAGTAATCACTGAGCACAGAGTCAGGAGTAATTGCTAAGCACACAGCTATGGCCCCCCAAAAAAACAAAAAATAACATAAGGAGACGTTACTGGGGCCTGCTCGAGGCAATCGACGAACAACATATGCATTACTATTAAAAATGGTAGTACTTAGCCAAGATATGGCATAATTCATGATTTAGCTAATCTATAAATGCTAGTTTTCCAATTCTGTTTGTGAGATAATTATAACCTCCTATCTAGATCTGATGGTCAGAGGACTATAAATACACTCTATTATCAAATTCTTTTTTTTTTTTTTTCTTTTTTGGGTCACACCCAGCGATGCACAGGTGTTACTCCTGGCTCATGCACTCAGGAATTACTCCTGGCGGTGCTCGGGGGACCATGTGGGATGCTGGGAATTGAACCCAGGTCATCCGTGTGCAAGGCAAATGCCCTACCCGCTGTGCTATTGCTACAGCCACTCTATTACCAAATTCTTATCATAAAAATTCTTCAGTATTAAAGCTTGTCTCTGTCCTCCTTTTAGTTCCTAATAATAACCACTCATGGGCCTGAAAGATAGTACAGGGGTTAAGGCATTTGCCTTGCACAGAGCTGACCCCTGTTTGATCCCTGGCACAAATTAAAATCCCTGGTCTGCTGAGCACCAGGGAATCCCTGAGCACAGAGCCTGGGCTAAGCTCTGAGCACATTAGCATGGGGCATTGTCCAAAATACAGAATAAATAAAATAAATAACCAGTCATATGCAATAAACTGAATCCTCAAGTTTACCTCAAGTTTAGCATCTAGTTCTGCATCAGATGCTACCACATGTTCATCCTCCTTTTTTCCTGTTGCTTTGATAAATACTTGTTTTGTTTTCCAGTATTTCCTTTGCATTCGGCTGACTACTGACTGGTTATCTTCTGGTCTGGGCTGCCCAAAGGAATCCATGGAGTTACTACAAGGAACAGAATAAGATTCTTTTTAAAAAATCTTTTCAATTGTAAGTATTTATCCAACAATTAATCTAATTAAAATAAAGAAATATTGTGGAATATTAATGTTAAAAGAATACTATTAATGTTTACTCACTTTGCATTGCCTAATTCCATTAGAATTAGAACTCACAATACTGGTCTAAAGATTAATGACGCTTTTATTCAGATGGTGACAGATGTGATAAAATGTATGATTTTGCAATAATGGCTGGAAATAATTATATTTTATTTGAATAATCTTTTTGTAGACATTTCTAAGTTCCTAATTTTGCTTTTGTAATAGTGCTGGAAAAGTAACAAATCTGCACAAACAACTTTTCACACTACTGTTTTCATAGTAAAATACCCTATAATTGTAAATGCTGTGTAGAATAATACACATGTAACATACACTCTCAGATATATAAAGATTCCCATCTTATTTTTTAAAATAACTGAATACCTTAGTATCCAAGAAATAAAAATAAGGACTTTAGGTTTAGAGGAGATATGTTATAAATGAAACAGACATGTGGTTGGGAGGCACCTCCTCTCAAAGAAAAATAGAAATAGAGATGGAAATTGTAACCTGTACATTTTGAAGCTTATGTCTAAGTAATTGTTTTATTTTTGCTTTTCTCTTGTTTGGGGGCCAGACCCAGCAATGCTCAGGGGTTACTCCTGGCTCTGCACTCAGGAATTACTCCTGGTGGGCTCAAGGGACTATACAGGATGTCAGTAATCAAACCTTGTTTGGCTGCTTGCAAGGCAAGTGCCATACCTGCTGCACGGTCCTAAGAAATTGTTTTTAAAATGGCTATATAAAGAAATTAAAATGTAAAAGAGGAAATGTAAAAGACAAAGAGTAATAAAGTCCCAATTTATTCCAATAAATGTGGGAGGTAGGAACAAAAGGAGGTATGAAGTATGTGACTCATTCATCATTTCTAGGGAAAGCAGGTGGTGCTTAAGTATTCTTAATGTTGTTAAAAATAGCTTCACTTTCTTTTATTTGGAAATAGTTACTAATGAAATAACAGGATGTTTAATTTCTAAATTACTAGGGGTAAAACAAAGGAACAAAATAAACAAAAAAGCAAAAATGTGTGGTAAAACAATAACACTGCATTATAAATAATATAAACTCAGACTAAGAGTAATTATGAAGTCAGTGTATGTATGATATGTCTATATCATATCATACAAAGAATTTCAAATCTGGAAAGAAAAAATCATATTGATACCACATTCCATTTGAGATCCACCTTAGACAAAATGAAAGAGAGAATTATGGGTTCATTAATGCCAACTAAATACAAACAAACTGAATTAAATAACCTTTTCAACCAAAGGTGTTGGGAAAACTGGATAACCACATTTTATTAAACAATGAACCTGGATCCATTTTACACACCTTAAACAAAAGTCAATTCAGAGATTAGATCAGAGTCCATAAAATATAGGTAGAATGCGCCAAGATTTGGACCTCAAAAGTGTTTTCAGTGATATAATTTCACTGATAAATTCAACAGAAACAAAAATAAATAATTAGGAGTACATCAAATTAAAGTTTCTGCACGACAAATGAAACAGGCTAAAACTAAGACACCCAACCGAACAGGAGGAAATATTTACACTAAACAAATCAGATAAAGGTTTAATATCCAAGATATACAGTAATAAAACCAGTAATAAAACCAGTAATAAAAATTCTACCAAACGGGGAGAGGAAATGAATAGACACTTCTCTGTTTGAGAGAAGACTGATGGCTGGCCAATATTTACATGTAAAAGTGCTTAGTATCATTTATTATCAGGGAAATCCAAATCAAGGTGACAGTGAGATATCATCTCACATCATTATGAATTGCACAGAATACCAAAAAAAAAAAAAACCTGTAAACAATATGTTTGGTCAGGTGTGGCGAAAAGGAACTCGCATGCAATGCTGGTAGGAATGTTGTCTGGTACCAGCCATATAGAAAATCGTATGGAGATTTCTCAGAAAAGACAGAATAGGGATACAAAACAACTGAACAATGACCTTTTGGTATTTACCCTCATAAAGCAAAAACATTCATTTTAATAAATATATGCACATCATTATTCATTGCAGAACTTAGTACAATCACTAGAATAAGGAATCAATCAAGATATCCAATGACAGGCATACTATATACACACAATGGAATAATATGCTGATGCATGCAGCTGACCCAGGTTCGATTCCTCTGCCCCGCTCGGAGACCCTGGCAAGCTACCAAGAGTATCTCATCCACACAGCAAAGCCTGGCAAGCTACCCGTGATGTATTCAATATGCCAAAAACACTAACAAGTCTCACAATTTGTTGTTGTGAGACATTACTGGTGCCTGCTTGAGCAAACTGATGAACAACGGGAGGACAGTGCTACAGTGCAGTGATTATATAATGCAATTTGCTGCAACTTGGATGGAACTGGAGGTTATGTTATTTGAAATTATAAGAAGGACAAATACTGGATGTCCTCACTTACCTGTAGTATATAGAATAATAGGACAAGAGAATGAAAGGTATCAAAGGGAAACTATCTAGATTGCCCTTGACCCTTGATTATAGAAATGAGAAAGATAGGGAAGAAAAGAAATCAAAAGGGGAAATAAGAGGTGGGAAGGAGGTAATGAGACAGGGGAGGAAAATCAAAGGGGGAAACAAGAAGAGGTAGGCAGGAGGTGATAGGGGCAGGGATCAGGGGCTTCAGAGGTATTATATACATATATATACATATGACTATAATATATACATATATAAATATACACATAATCAACAACATGGTAAACATGAGACCCAAACTACAATCCAAACTTTAAAATGTACCTGTGAAGGTGACAGGCTAGGGTGATAGTGGAAGGAAACCTTGGGGACATTGTTGAAGGGACATTGTATGGAACATTGTATGTTGGAATGTTTTATGTGTGAAACTCTATTATGAACAACTTTGTAGACCATGATACCTTAGCCAAAAGAATTAAATGACCAAAAAAAAAAAGAAGATATTTACTTCACTATAAAAAATAGTGAGAGATAGTTCAATGGGCTGAGTACATGTTTTGTTCCTGGAATACTATGTAGAGTTAACCCCCCCCCCCCCAACACACACACACCTCCCCAGGCATAGGTAGGAGCAGTCTGTGAGCACCACCAGGTAAAGCCCCAAAATTCATAAAAAAAAAATGTTAGTAATAAGAGGGACTGGGGCTGGGGCTCAATTCATGGCACACCCTCAACATAGGGTGCCACTTCTGAGCTGCTTGGCATAGCCAGCAGCCCCACCACTGCCTGGAGTGCCTTCAACAAAAACATGTTTTAATTTGAGTGAGAAAAAGTATAATAAATTATTCACTTTTCACAATAAAAATTTGATAAATTTCAGTAATCTTGATATTTAAAAATATTTCTCCCAGCAGCTTGGAGCAGAAAAGTGAATGGATTATGCGTTAATCCAGGCCATCATGTCGGCCCGGAGGGGAAAGGGTGTTGCCCCATTCGCCCTCTCTTCTCTAGAAAGAAGGATGGCGGCCGCATGGGAGCCTTGTGGGCAGCAGGTATGAGCCGGGGGTGTGGGGGCGACTAAAACCTCATGGGAAGGGGGGCGTTCCGGTCCGTCCTTCACGCCCTACCGAGGTCACCAGTTGCCCCCCACGAGCAGCTCTCCAGCATGGCCACAGCCCCAGAAGCACAAGGACTTAATGCAGAACCCAGCAGCTTGGAGCAGAAAAGTGAACAGACTATGCGTTAATCCAGCCATCATGTCTGCCCGGAGGGGAAAGGGTGTTGCCCCATTCGCCCTCTCCTCTCTGGAAAGAAAGATGGCGGCCGCATGGGAGCTTTGTGGAGAGCAGGTATGAGCCGGGTGCTGGGGGCAACTAAAACCTCATGGGAAGGGGGGCGTTCTGGTCTGTCCTTCACGCCCTACCGAGGTCACCAGTTGCCCCCCACGAGCGGCTCTCCGGCACGGCCACGACTCCAGAGCACAAAAACCAATCTCTTAATTATCTGACTTTCAGTAGAAATACTTCCAGGGTCAATAAGTAAAATAGCGGAAATCCAAAACCAACATTTAATTCTTGAACCCAGCTGTAGAAAGCAAGTCACATCACAATGCTTTTTCAGCATGTCTGATTTGGGGGGGGGTAAACTCTAATAATAGTGGTGCATCTTTTATTGAAACAATGAATCTAATCAAAGCAGATAGAGTGTTAACTAGAATTCATCTGCCTCGCAGGCACTGGGAGGGGTGGGGGGTGGGGTTTTATTGGGGTTCTTCGGGGTTAAAAATAAGTATTGGTAAAGGAAATGTGTTTGATATTTGCATGACTGAGACCTAAACCTGAAAGCTTTGTAACTTTTCCCACAGTGATCCAATAAATAAATTATTAAAAAAAAAAAAAGCTTTGAATGGGTGCAGAGGGACCAGGTTTGAGCCCTGGCGCGGCAGGCTCCCCGGGAGGGAGCCCCAAGCAAAGAGTCAGGAGTAGGCCCTGAGCACTGCGAGGTGTGTCCCTAAAACAAAAAATCTGGAAAGTAAAACTGGGGACGGAGTAATAGTGCAGTGGGTAAGACTCCTGGCTCTTTGCTTGGGGTTCTCTCTCTGGCTTTGCTCTGGGAGCCTGTTGTGCCGGGGCTCGGACCTGGCCCTTCTGCATTCATTCAAAGCTTTCACTCATTCCATTGAGCTATCTCCCAGGCCCTCGAATCACAGATTTAATTGACTTGCACTCAAATGACCTAGGTTTGATCCCTGGCATCCCATATGGTCCCAAGGCAACACTAGTGTAATTCCTGAGTGCAAAGCCAGAAGTAACTCCTGAGCATCACTGTGACCCCAAATGCAAATAAATAAATGAATAAAAAGAAAGTAAAAAAAATATTTCTATGGGGGATGCATAAGCATATGTGTGTATATGTGTGTATACACAGTATTTACCTATAATATTTAAAGGTAAAATACCAAGAGTATTACCATAAGCCAGATGTAATTATAAGGAAGAGCTCACCATTATTTTATTTGGTTTGTGAGGCATACCAATGGTGCTCAAGGCTCATTATTTTATTGTTACTATTTTAGCAGTACTAGATAATACCATGGGCCTAAAAAAAGGATAAAGTAGGGTCTTAGCAATAGTACAGCATGTAGGGCACTTGTCTTGCATATGACTGACCCAAGTTCAATCCCCAGCACCCCTATGATCTCCCAAGTCTCACCAGGAGTGATCCCTGAGCACAACTTGATATGGCCCTAAAATATTTTTTAATTTTTAAACATTAAAAAGGTAAAGTAAGGGATTAGTACAAAAGTGGAGTTAGCTAAACTATATTACATATAAAAATAGTATACTTGAAATGTTTAAAAACAAGTGGGAAACTATTAAAAGCAGTATATTTTAACAAATTCACTTGTTCTAAAATATACAAAATTAAGCAGTTTTCTTTCCTAGTGGTTTTCAAGAACTAGATAAATAATACAAAAGAAACTTATCCCAATTGAAATTCTTAGAAATAAATTAAACATAAAATAGCTTATATATACAACTCTGGGGCTACTTCTGACTCTGCGTGGGTGTTTAGGTTTCTCCTGGCAATGCTAAGGAACCATGTGGTGCCAGAATTCAAATCTGGGCCTCTGGCATGCAAAACATGCACTATAGACTTTGAGCTATCTCTCTAGTCCTCAAATAACTCTTATGAAGAAAATTTAAAATAGTGCTAAAGTGGAGAGAAAAAATTTAAAAGATATGGATTATTCTTGAAAAGGAAGATTCAAAATAAATAGGTCATTTGTTTCTACATAATGTAATCTACATTATTACTAAGGTGTCATTTCCAATTCTGCTTCCTACCTCATCTTCCTCCACCCCCTTCCAACCCACATCATCCCTGTAAGGAATTGACACCAGATGCCTTATACATTTTGAAACACTGAGCTATATTCCCAATCTTGAAATTATTTTTTAAAAGGCCATCTCAGTCTAAAACTTCAAATATTTTTGGTTTGTGAGGCATACCAATGGTGCTCAAGGCTCAAAACCTCATTTGAGAAACAAATATGAAAATAACCAAGAAAAATCTGGAAAATATGAGTAATAAAGAGATTTTTGAAGCAATATTAATTTAAGAATTGTACTAGTCTTCTATTTCTGAATGCTGCAAAAGAACATTACTCCCATTATAACAATGAAGATTAGCTCCATAACTTACAAATAAATGTATATGTTTTCTTAAAGTTCATCAGAGAACTAAGGATGCAAACACAGCAAATGAACTATTATCTGGAAAATGATTGGACCTACCTAATGCCGAAGAGACTCAAGACTATCCTTGGCAGAACAGTAGTAAAGTCTGATCCAGAAAGAAATATGTAAGTCAGTAATATGTAAGTGGGCAGGAGAGAATGGTTTGGTAAACTGATTAGCTCTATTAGAAATGTTTTAATGTAGGTATGGCACTTGCCTTGCATACAGCAAAAAGAAGTTCAATCACTGGCATACCCTCTGGTCCCCAGAGCCCATGAGGAGTGATCCCTGAGTACAGAACCAGGAGTAAGCCCTGAGTACATCTGGGTGTGACCTAATTAATTAATTAATTAATTAATTTGAGGGGCTAGGCTGGAGCGATAGCACAGCGTTACGGCATTTGCCTTGCGTACAGCCGCCCTGCCAGGCCGGGTTCAATTCCTCCACCCCTCTCGGAGAGCCCAGCAAACTACTGAGAGTATCTCGCCCGCAAAACCTGGCAAGGCAAGCTACCCAGGACGTACTTGATATGCTAAACAGAGTAACAAGTCTCACGATGGAGACGTTACTGGGCCCGCTCGAGCAAATCGATGAACAAAGGGAGGACAGTGCTACAGTGCTACAGAAGGGCTGGAAAGATATACAGGAGATAAGGCACTTGCCTTGTATATGGTTGCATTGCCTCCTTCTTCAAATTCCCAGTTCACTTAGCACCTCCAGGGTTCATGCCAGAGCACAGAGCCAGGAATAGACCCTGACCATACACACACACACACACACACACACACACACACACACACACACACCCCAAAATGGTACTTTGTCTTCATTTTCTTTGTCAAATTAAATCAACACAATAAAAAATTTAAAACCTAAAGTACTTGCAACCATGTTAAATAATAACCTATGCAGAATCACTGTTTTGATGGTGAATATTGGAGTCCAGCAAAACTTGGAAGTCTGACTTCACAAATAAAAGAAATATCTAATGTATGAATATAAAATATACAAGAGAGGTAAAGGTAAAAAAGGTAAAGGCCCTCCCGTTGATCGTTGATTTGCTCGAGCGGGCCCAGTAACGTCTCCATTGGAGACTTTGTTGTTACTGTGTCTGGCATATCGAATACTCTCAGTAGCTTGCTGGGCTCTCCGAGAGGGGCGGAGGAATTGAACTCAGGTCAGCCATGTTGGCCACTTGTAAGGCAAACGCCCTACCCGCTGTGCTATCGCTCCAGCCCATACAAGAGAGAATAAGGATATTAATAAACAACAAAAGTCATTTCATATCAGGTAATTTTTTCATTTACAACAAATTTAAAAATCTTCCACACACCCCATCTGCTGTTAAACATAATAAAATTTTAGGGCCTGTTAGATATTACAGAGGTTAAAGAATTTACCATGCATATAGCCCATCCTAGTCTACTACCTGGCACCACATCTGATTCCCCCACCACCAGAAGTGACCCCTGAGCAATTCAGGGTGTAGCCTCAAACCCCATTCTTCTTCCACACTCACAAAGAATACAATTTTAAAGAAGTACAGTGAGTACTGAAAAAGTCTGTAAAAGACAAAATTTTAAATAGAAACATCACAATGAAATCACAAATGTTGACAACACCTAATATTTTATATGTGATACTTAATATTTTAATATTTGGTTCTGATTCAGTCACTGGTATAAATTTTGTTTCACAATTTAAATTGTTCTAATATTAAAATATTACTGTCTAGTTTTCCATTGGTCTCATAGTAGCAGTTTTTGCAGGCTGATCTCTGAGCAACCAACCAGTTTTCAAAATAAGGTTCAACAAGTAAAATTATCAGCGATTAGAAGAATGGTTTGCACATGTTTCAATGGATAACTATACAATTCTTTTTCACTATGTGATATAGACACTTCCCAAAGTACACGGGATATGTTAAGCACTGCTAAGGAATATACAAGATTTATTTTTTTAAAGCCCTTTATTCATAAAAAAGTATACATACCATTCGATGTTTATTTGGCCAATCAATGCATAATTAATGAACTCCCACTACAGGATGAAGCACCTGTGGCTACTCCATAAATATTGATGTGCAGATGATTAAAGTACTATCTCCTTACAGTACTCCAGTCCGAGTCAGAACCAAAGAAATGAATACAGAAAATACTGAGAGAAAAAAAAAAAAAAACCCAAATCGTGGATAAGCGAGACAGTCCCAAGAAAGTGTTTCACAGCGACTTCCACCTGAAAAGACCCTTGAATGCTGTGCACGACGGGATCCTCTAGAGGAAAAACAAGTGCAAGCCCTGTGCCCGCCTGCCCCGCAGCCGCAGCGCGCACGGGCGAAGCGGGGATGGATTTGGTCCCCTTCCCTCTCTCCCGGAGCATCAGGTATCGGACCGATGACATCATCCGGGCACCTGACCAGGCGCCCTGCGGGGCGGGAGTCGGGGGCTGGGATGGGGGGTGGGGGGCTGGGGTCAGCCCGCAATTCGCCCCCTTCCTGAAGGTCTTACGAATGCCTGGCCGCTTCGTTCCTCAAGATGCTATTCCCGTTACGGGATAAAGGCATAAACAAGCCCGGCTTAGAAGAAAGGTCAGCGGGAAGCACCTCAAGGCTGTGAACCTCGGCCTCGAATCGGCCTCCCCGTAGGAGACAAATCACATCACCCTCCCCCCTCCGACCCCAACAAAACCTCAGGCCCCGCCCGCGTTCGCGACCCCGGGGTGGGGTGGGGTGGGGTGGGGGGCAGCTCCTTTAAGGCCCGAGGGGACTTAAAGCCCTGGGGAAACCCGCTCGGGGTCAGCTCTGCCCGGGGTGAGCCCGGGAGGAAAGCCGCTGGGTCTCCCCCACCGGAGGACCGAGGCGGCCGCCGACGCCCCCGAGAGACCGCGTGCGCGCGTGGCGGGAGCCGCCACCTCCCGGCGTCGCCATGGGAACCCAGATTTTGGCCTCCGGGTCCCCGCCAGCCCTGGCGGGCGCAGCTCGGCCCCGGCCCCGCGAGCTTTGGGGTTGGGGTGGGCAGGGCCGGCGGGAGGCCGCAGACGCTCACCGCGACGCCGGGGCCGCGACGCGCCGCTCCTCCGCCGCCTGGGTCGCGCTCGGCCGCGCGGAGATCCGTCTCGGTACCCGCTCGCGCCGCCGCCACCGCCGCCCGCGAGCCCCGCGACGCCGCCCGCCCCGGCGGCTCCCGCAGCCCCGTGCCCCGCCGCACCAGCGCGTGGAGGTGTCGGGCTCGGGCCGCGGGAGGCGCGAGATTCAAACCTGGCGGCCTGGCTCGGAAGAGCCGCGCGGTCCTCCAGCGTCGGCGCCCCCCGCCGCCTGCGTTCGGGCCCCCTTGGGCTCCGACCCGGCTCGCGGCTCTGTACTTGCGCGGTCGGCGGGAACCCCTCCTGCCTGCCTTCTCCCCCGCCAGTTCCTCTCGAGAGAATGAAATGGCAAACGGCAAACGGATCAGAACGCCAGGCCGACTGCCTGAGGATGAGTGAGGCCTGGGGAAGCGCAGGTAAGTGGCAGGGATCCTCGGATTTCCGAGCGCCTCCTTGGAGTACCGCAGCTCCCAACCTCCAGTCCCCCCCTGCACCTGCCCTCATCCTACGGACCTCGGCGCTGGCAGGCGCCGCCCGGGTCATCCCAGCATCCCGGTCAGGGGCGCTTGGCTGAGCCGGTGCCTCTGACCGTGAACGTTCACGTGCCGCTTTTAACCCTTCTGTAAAAGGGCTGGGGAGGATTGAGTTAAAACTGCTGGTAACTGACCTCCTCTGCACATATCTGTCACCCCGATTTGCTGTCATAAAAGGGTCCAAACGAGTGAAAGCGAAAATGTGAGCCGAAAAACAGCAGGGAAACGAAGTTGGAAATAAAGCTCAAGTCAAACGTACTGGTGGACGATCTTTTTTTTTTTTTTTAATTTTTATTAGTGAAACACCATGAGGTACAGTTGTAGACTTACAAATTTTTGTGCTTGGACGATCATTTTTAATCAAAGGACTTTCTTTTTAAAGGTGTCTCGAAAGTCATATCCACCTAATTTTTTTTTAACAAAATAGGCCAGCTTACTAGCTTACACTTAAGATGATAATTAAAAAGACTTTCTGATCACCAAAGACAAAGAGGGGTTGAGATTTTAAAATATTTTTGCCAAGTATTCACCTTGAAGACCAGAAAAAAATACTTTTAGAGAAGGAAAAACATCTGGATATTTAAGTGAAGAATCCCAAAACAACAATTAAAAGAATTAAAATCATTGTTTGTTGAATTGTCATTTATAATAATAGTACATAATGGAATATTACTGCATTCTATTAAAAAAATTAAATCCTGCCATTTTAGCATGGATGGGCCTAGAGGGAATTATGCTTAGTGAAAAGAATAAGACTAAGAGAAGCATTTACTATAATTTCATAAATGTTATTGAAGGGGAAAAAGGAATACAACTAAAGAAAAAAGATTTTAGACTATAAGCTAGATTAGTGAAAAATGAAAGAGGGACTAGAGAGTGGATGGATTGATTAAAAGGGATCCATTTGGGACTGGGACAGCTGTAGGGCTCTTTCCTTGCACGTGACCAACCCAGGTTCAATTCCTAGCACCCCATATGGTCTCCCAGGCACTGCCAGGAGTGATATCTGAGCATAAAGCAAGGAGTTAGCCCTGAGCACCTCAACGGTGGCTCCCCAAAGAAACAAAAATTGAATTCATTGATGTTGAATGTTCTAATTGAATTTTTAGTGGTAAACTTAATGTGTACACAGTTTTTTAATGATATATATAATTGTATAATGTCACAAATTGTTACTTCAGTAGATCTTATTTTTAATAGAATAGGAAAATGGCAGCTATTTATATATGGGTGTGTGTGTATATATATGTGTGTGTGTATATATATATACAGTTAAATTGGTGTGAAAATATTGAAATGTGTCTAGATGATCACAAAGTGTAATGTTAATAATACTTTTTTCATACATCTTTAAGAAAATTGAGCAAATAGTGGAACAGTACAGAAAAGGCTTCAGCTAATAATGGTGGAATGACCTTCATCTTCCTGTGCAGGAATCAGGTCTTCTTACTGCTGGCATTTGGTAAATGTTTGTGAAATTAATAATCTTCCATTAGTTGTTGGGTTGATATGAAATATTTTGGGTTTTCTTCTTTTTATTTTGAGACTTTTGGGGGGCCACATTCAGCAGTGCTCAGGGTCACTCCTTGCTCTGCGCTCAGAAGTCTCCCTTAGCAGTGCTTGAGGGACTGTGTTGTGCTGATAGGGATTTAAACTGGGTGTCTGCAGGATGCAAAGCAAGCACCTTAACCCCTATACTATCTCTGGCCTGATATGAAAATCTTTAAATGACTTGTACACAGCTTCAAGGACTTCATGCCTTGCACTCAGGAGCCTGGAGTTCAATCTGAGCACTACAGGAAATGAAGCCTAAGAACCAACCAAACAGGACTATCTCTGAGTATGGCCAAGTGTTGTGCAAAAACCAAAACCAACAAAAAGAAAAAAGGCTAGTACGAGCTCCTTAATAAATAAGAAAATTGGAGTAGTTAATAGTGTCCTAGAAATTGGAGAGAGAGCACAGGTGTTAATGCACTCACCTTGTACACAGTCTACCTGGGTTCAGTCATTGGCATTACTTATGGTCCCCTGAGCACTGCCAGGACTGATCCCTGAGTACCACTAGGTGTGGTCCGAAAACAACAAAAATAATAAAATTTATTGTTTAGTTAAATTTTTTTTCAGAAAATGAAAGGACATAACACCATTAAAATACTTTGTGTGGTAAGGTTTAATTTTAGCACCACACACATTTATAGATGTGTTATTTGCGGGGCTTCACAAGTCTGACATCCTAACCTGGGTGGGGATCAGGGCAAAATATGATGGAACAGCTCTTTTATTCCTGGCATCACTTGGCCCCTTGAGCACTACGAGCTGTCACCTAGGAAGATCCCTACCTCTGACCTCAGCATCACCCAGTTGCCCTAGTGTCCCTTGGAATCACAGGGCCCAAGCAATGCTACATCCTTGGGCCCTAGCATTGACCCATCTCTTTAGCTTGTACAGGTATTCCTGGGTGTGCTCCAGGCCCCCTGACCACTCCTTAAGAGCTCCCTCCCTGGCAGTGTTCAAAGCTTACTTTTTGCTCTATGCCTAGAATTCACTCTTGGCAGTAATTGGGGCACTATATGTTATGCGGAGGACCAAACTTGGGTTGGCTTCATGCAAGGCAAGCACCCTGCCCACTGTACTATCTTTCTGGCCTGAAAGCAGTACTTTTATTTTGTGTTATTAACCTTTTGGCATATCTTCCAAATAAAATATCAGTTGATATTAGAAAGCATAGTAAGAATAATTATTCCATAAAATGGATATCCATAGTGAGAATTTTAGCCTTTTGTACTGTTTCAATCTTTTTGTTTTGTTTTGGTGCCACACTTGGTGGTGCTAAGGGCTTACTACTGGCTCTGTGCTCAGGGATCACTCCTGATAGAGTTCAAGGGACTATATGTGGTATGGGGGATGGAAGCTGAGTAAGTGATTCTAAGGCAAATAACTTACTGTACTATCTCTTCAGTACTGTACTGTTTCATTCTTTCCAAGGATTAGAAATCTACTGAACTTGATGTCATGGAAATAGCACTTTTCTTCAGGATGTTCTACTTTCCTTGTAATCTGATCATTGTGACAGAAGAAACAAGTCAGTGGAAATCAGGATTATATGGAGAGATAGCTATCTTCCCAGATGCTCATATAATTAGCAGTGTTCTCTCTCCCATGCTACATTTTATTCTATTTAAACAAGGGTACAGTTAAAGACAGCATTATTGTGTCTGGAGTACAAGGGTTTATGTGCTTGATTTGCACGTGGCCAAACACATTTCATATCCTAGCACCGGCATATGGTCCCCCAAGCACTGCCAGGAGTGACCCCTGGGCACAGAGCCAGGAGTAAATCCTGAGTACTGCTGATAGTGTCCCCAAAGGTAAAATATTATTAAGATGATTTTTTAAAAATCTGAAATGTGGGGTGGTAGTACATTGAATAGGAGTAGGGCATTTGCCTTGCACACAGCTGACCCGGGTTTAATCCCTGGCATCCCCTATGGTCTCCCGATTACTTCCAGGAGTAATTCCTTCTGAATCATACTTCACTTGATATTAGTAAGACTACCTTTAGTTACTACATATAAATTTTATATGTTCTAAAATTTATATCAGAATGTACCTAAGGAGATCATTTTTTTTTTTCTTTTTGGGTCACTCCTGGTGATGGACAGGAGTTACTCCTACACTCAGGAATAGCCTGAGTTACCTTACTCATGCACTCAGGAATTACTCCTGGCCGTTCTTGGGGGACCATATGGGATGCTAGGAATCAAATCTGGATTGGCTGCGTGCAAGCCAAACGCCCTACCCACTGTACTAGCAGTCCAACTCTGAAAGATAATTTTTACATAAATTTTATTATTTAGAATCATGCCTCCAATTTTCAACATGGGAGTATGAATATAAGAAGATTATTATGGGATACAGTTTGGGCATTTTTGGCCATTTAATATCTGGTTCATATAACTAAAAACTAATTAATATTTGTTTTATATAACAATACCATAATTAAAGTGACTGTTCTGTTTTCATACCTGACAGTATCTGATTGGCAATGTTTGGGTATTTCTTGCCTAATGAAACCTAATTCCAATTATTATAAGAAATATTAGAGAAGACCCAGGTGATAGTAAAGCAATTAGGGTGTATGCCTGGTATGTACTTGACTATGTTTCATTCCTGGTACCACATGGTCCCCCAAGCATCATTGGATGCAGTCTGGAGGCCCCCAGCACTGCCAGGGTGACTTGTAATTTCTGGTATTACAGAGCCCGAGCAGCAGCATCTCATCCTTGAACACTCATGCAGAACCACATTCCAGATGGCAAGAAATTACCAGTGGGGCACCTGGACTTCCTGAGCACTACTAGGGAGGCTCCCCAAAGCAATCCCAAAGAAATTAGT